GAGAGAGAGAGAGAGAGAGAGAGAGAGAGAGAGAGAGAGAGAGAGAGAGAGAGAGAGAGAGAGAGAGAGAGAGTTCGCATCAATCAGTTGTCTCCACCACGACTGAATTATCTGTTATATTTGTTTTTTTTGCGAGCGAAGCCGGAACAGGTCATCTAGTGAGAAAAACAAAGCTACTCAGACCTTAGCCTGAAACTGCAGTCAGTCTGACGCTGTTGCCAGCAGCTTCAGACCTTACTGGACGGTCGAGTGCTTTATTCCTCAGAAAGCAAAGCTTCTGAGACCGTAGGCAGAGACTGCAGTCAGCCTGATTTCTGATTAAGCAAAGCTTCTGAGACTGTAGGCTGAGACTGCAGTCGGCCTGATTTCTGACATTGGCCAAAGTCTGAGGTCATTTTTGGCCAAAACAAAGCTGAGCAGACCTTAGCCTGAGAATACAGTCGTTGGCAATGTTGAAATCCTGACTACTTCGTACTTTGGGATTCCTTTATTGAGAAGAGGAGAAACACAGGATTGATGCACGTGCTGTGCTGGTTTAATCGTTTGGTCAAATTCTGATAAACCACCCTGATAATGCTTCTGTATGTCTTGGTTGTCTCTTTCTGTTTTCCCACCTGTCTGCCATTCCTTTCAAATCAGTTGGACAGATGAAGGGGAAGGAAAGGAAATGGTTTGCTGCCTTGGCGGACGTGGCAGGCAAGTTGTAATTTAGGTTGTGAACTTCCTCTAGATAACGGTGCGTGGCAGGGGGTGCGGTTGTGAGGAAGGCACTGAAGGCGTTCCCCAGCTGTGAGCGGACGGAATGTGACATTGAATTTCCAACATCGCCCGGTGCGCCGAGTTGTGTCTATTGCGAAGTTGGATGAACGAGTCCTTGAATGCCGAAGACAAAGGGTTTCAGTAGTCCATGTCACCTTGCGCGTGTGAGGGCGTGGAAACAGTGTTTTGGTTGGCATCGGCTGTGCCGGCTTCTCCGCCGGCATTGCCATGGCAAATGTGACATCGTCATTGCAGGCCAATGTGACGTCATTACATACCGATGGGGCTCTGAGTGACCCTGAGAGTGATGATTTCCAAGATCCTGAATTGGTCACCAGTGGCGTAGACGACGAGGACCTCGATGGCACGGTGGTTAGTGGTTGTGGTACGGATAGTGCTCTGGCTGAGCACCATGTGGCATCATGGGAAGGGCAGCGGTGTATACGGACACCGGAGGGTGGTGTTGTCTTCCCCAGAGAACAGATCGAAGGACAAGAAGGTGGGAAAGATGGTGCTACGGCCTGCATCAGCAAAGAGGAACTTCAGCAAAATGGACTGGTTAACGGATCGGTTGAGGGCGCTGTTTGTGAAGATTCTGCTGTTCGACAAGACAGAATGAGAACAATGATGGGAGGAATGGCCAAAATGGCAGCAGAGTGTCCGGCAGCTGCCAAAGTGGTCGCTGGGGCGGAGAGGGATGTTATTGAGCTGGAGACAGACAGATGTCGAAGGCAGGGGGCAGCTGTTTTGGATTCTGAAAAGCAGTCTCAAATGAAGCTTCTAGAGAGCCTGGAAATGGAAAAGAAGGCAAGGGCGAATGCATTTGCCGAGGTGAGGGCAGAGAGAAAAGCAAGAGAGAAGATGCTCTTGGAACTGGAGACTGAAAAGAGGGAAAGGGAGAAAATCGTTCGGGAATTGGAGAAGCAGAGGAGGATGATGGAGAATGTGCAATCAGACTTGGAGGAGGAGGAGAAAGCAAAAAGGGAGTTGGCAGAGGAGCTGGAGGTGGAAAGGAGGAAGAGAAGAGAGGCGGATATGGAGCAGGACACTATGAAGAATATTAGAGACAAAGTTGTCGAGGAGTTGGAGAAGGAAAGGAATGCATTGCTGCGGAAAGTGGAGGTACAATTAGAAGCCGAGAAAAAGGCGATGGGGAAAATTGCTGAAGACCTGCATGCAGAAAAGAGGCTTCGGGAGAAGTTGACTTCGGAGTTGGACGGGGAGAAAAAGGTTAGACAGAGACTTATGTCAGAGCTAGAAGGAGAGAGAAAACTGAGAGAGAAGGTAGAGGCAGGAAAGAAGGACATAGAGATTACTTGCGGGCGATTGAAGGAGATGCTTCATGAGGCGCTTCGCCAACGGGACGAGGCAAGGCGTCAGCGTGAAGACATCCTTAAGCAGCGGGATGAAGCTATGAAGCAAAGAGACGAGCTGGTGAAAGTTCGTGATGGGGTGAAGGCAGAGGTGGAAGCAGGAATGGAAGCCTTCGGAGGGAAGGAGATGGAGAGACTTGTTGGGAGGGCGGCGGCTCAAGCGATAATAGAAAATGGGGAGCTGAAAAGGGGGAGAGGCGGAGTAGCCATAGAGGGGATGTTGGGGTTAATGGTAGGGTACAGAAGGAGAGTGGATGGGTTGGTGGAAGAGGTGGTGAAACAGAGGGATGCTGCTGTCAAGGCACAGGATAGGGCTAGAGAGCAGATTGACCAACGAAACATTGAGATTGCCATTGAGGTTTCTGATTTGGAGGCCAAGGTGTTGCAATTGATGGAAGAGGTGGAGCAGAAGACTGCGGAGGTGGAGAAGCTGCGGCAAGTGCTGGTGGTTAACGAGGAGATGGAAAAGAGAGGGAAGGAGATGGAGGTAGCATTATCGGCGGAGAAGAGAAGGGCAGATTCATTGGAGGGAGAAAAAGAACAGGTGGATAAGGAGCTAGCAGAACAGAGGCAAGTTGTGACGGAGTTGAAGAGAAATCTGATGGATTTGGATGCGTGGGTGAAAGAGGTGCAAGAAGAGGCAAGAAGAACCGAGGAAGGCCTAAAGAAGGAGAGGGAAGAGGCTGAAAGAGGCAGAGACGCGGCTATGGAAGAGGGGAGGAGACTTACTGAGCGAGTTGCAGAAGTGATGATGGAGGCGGAGGAGGTGAAAAGACAACTTGAACATGACCGAATTGAGAGCAGAACTTCGCTGGAGGAGGAGAGGGCGGGGAGAAGGAAGGAGGTTGCAGAGTTGGAGGGAGAACTCAGGGCACTGCAAGAGGGAGGGGAGAGAGGGATGGAAGAACTTGAAAGGCAACTACAGAGAGTAAGGGAAGAGCTTAGGGAAACCGAGGGTGCATTAAGACAGGAGAAGGGTAGGGCAATTGAGGCAGAGTTGAGGAGAGATGAGGCCGTCGCCGAGGCACAGGCATTGCATGAAGAGATTGGCAAGCTGACAAGCCACGTGGCAGAGCTGGAGAAAGATCGCACGATCACCAGGAGCGAAATGGACGATCTACAGTCGCTTGTGCACGAGGGCAGAGATCTTATGGAGCTGGAGAAAGTGAGCCGAATGGAGGCTGAGGAGCGAGTATTGTCTCTGACACTGGAGTTGGAGAGGGCGAGACAGAGACTATCAGAGGCCGAGGATGAGGTGAATAAGTGGAGTCAAGCAGCAAAGGAGGAGGCTATGGTGGGAGGAGCTGTATTGAAAGAATCAGAGGGGAAGAGTAAGCAGATTGCATCGTTGACTACGCAGTTGGCGCAGTGGAGGAAGATGGCAGAGGAGCTCAGTGCGAAGATCAGATCGAAGGAGGAGATAGTTGCTGCAGCGACAGCAGCGAGGGACGCTGCAGAACAGTCACTGCAGGTGGCAGATGACCGGGCACGGCAACTAAGAGCAAGAGTTGAGGCTTTGGAAACCCAGCTGGAGGAGGTGGGGAGGTGGGGAGGTGGAGGAAGTGGAGCGGGCATATTGAGCAGACTATCATGGGGCGATTGTTGGCCTCGAAGAGGGTGGAACACAGGTGGTTCGGTAACAGAAGAGGGAGAGATGGGCAGTTCCAGAACAGGCGGGGGGCTGGCATGGCTGTTCAACAGGGCAGGAAGAAGGGGAGGAACTCGCTCGTTCTCTCAGGCGGAGATGGAGGAATTGATGCAACCTCTTGTATAGATCCCTGATCGTCATATTTTTTTGCTTAATGTCTGCTTTGTGTCTCTACCTTTTCTCTTAATCTAGGTGCATTACGTGTACAGAGAGAGAGACTGTGCTCGTGTTGTCTGAAGAGAGTTGTAGAGAAGTGTGGAGTGAAGACGGGGCTTCGGTCTGGCCAAGCAACTAGGTGAGTTGGGTTAAAGGTAAGGTAAGGGAGAGGCATTACATGCTGTCTCTTATACACATCTAGATGTGTATAAGAGACAGGTGTTTGGGTTGCATAAGATTTTGAGTTGAGGAGCAGCCGTTGCCTAAAGTGGCCACCACTACAGACTGGACAAGACCAGTTCGGGTGTGGACTANNNNGAGAGAGAGAGAGAGAGAGAGAGAGAGAGAGAGAGAGAGAGAGCTCTGAGTATTGGTTGCTAGTGATATAAGGCGAAAGGCTAATGGCCAGCCACGTGGAGAGAACTTTAACGGAAAGGGTGTTGGGCATGTTGAAGGAGGAATTAATGGGTGTATTAATTTGATCTTATTCATTAGTTTTCTTACCGTGTTTGGATTCTTCCTATCTGGAAATCTTGCCTGGTATTTCACCTATTTGTTTCTCCCTCCGCTTGATTGTTGAAGGCTCCATCATTCACCCTCAATCCCCAGGACTGTGCTATACACCCGCAGATGTGAGCAGCATCCCTTGATGCTGAAGGTACTATTTTGTGGACATATCTAACGCTCTGCCTTCGTTTCTTTCTGTTTTTTTTTGCAAGAAGATAATCTTAGGGCAGAGACTTTTCTGAAGGAAAGTTGCGATGAATAGTCAGGCCATTGTGTGAGTTTGCCCCCAGAGGAGAAAAAGGTCACAAATTGTGGTGAGTTTTTTGCGGATGTTACGATCCTGGTCATTTCCAAAGTGCAAATTCACAAGGAAAGACAATGCCACCCAATTGCGAAAGAAATGAAAGCACTTGCAAAGAGATGGAGACCAAAGAAGAAGAAGAAGAAGAAGAAGAAGAAGAAGAAGAAGAAGAAGAAGTACACCAGCAAGACCAATGACAAATCCCCCCTTCTCTCTCCACCTTCCTCCTCCTCCTTGACTTTGCCAATCTTATTCTTCTTCCCAATAATAATAATAACAATGAGTGGATGAACCAGAATCAATATCTGAAGTTCTCTCTTACTGCCAGCACAACAACAGGTCCACCATGGCCATGGCTTCCCCCTTCTTCCTTCTCTCACATGCCAAGGCTATGGCGGACTACTAAGGGCTCTGCCCTCCTGTCCAAAGGACAACCCGAAGCAGCTATGTTGCTGCTCATCAGGCGGCCATCCCTGACTCTGCCTCGAGCGTCCTTGGTGCGGCACTACCCCAACTGGGGTCTTCCAGATGCAGCGTGTAACAAGGTGATGAAGATGGTGTCCACCATAGCCAGGTAGGTACCTCACCAGTCTCCTCCTTTGCCCCTCTTCTTCCTCCTCCCCAAGCTGGGCTGCTCGCCATAGCCAGGCTGAGGGCCCAGCTGCTCCTCCAGGCAGCACTCCTCGTAGCTTGGCTCCAGCAGTATGTCGCCAATCCTTGCCCACAACAAATGAGAATGAGCTACTTGCTCCTTCCAAAGATATGGCGGCCTGCTTGCCTCTTGGGTGGTGACTTCCTAGGCCGTGTGGCCTCCCAGCAACCGGTACCTCCTCCCTTTCGGAGGGAAACATCATTGCAGGTTCTGATATCGTCCGTACAGGCCCTAGACTCAGGCTACTTGGACTGGTACCGGCCTACGTCTAGCCTACCGCTACTGGGCCTCTAAAAATGCCAACTTTTGTCTTCTTCTGCTCGGCCTCGAGTGCCCGACACTTCTACCACTACTTTGAGTGGTACCGGCCTACCTGCTACTTGAGTGTTTTTCCCGCTGCTCTTAAGTGTCGCGGGCCTACCCCCGCTACTTGAGTGTTTTTCCCCGCTGCAACTCTCGAAGTCACGGCCACGGGTAAGTACCGGCCCTGCGGGGCCTACCAACCAAGTACCCTTGGGGGTCACACACACACTCAGGCCGACAAGCGCTCAGACAGGCACACAGACCAGCAGGCACACACACACACAGACTTAGAAATCACAATAGAATGCGGGAATGTCAGCAAGGCATACGTTCCAGCGGGAAATCCCAGAAATCAGTAGTGTTCTCAGTCTGTGTTTTGGCGGGTCATTACACTACCCCAGTCTCAAGAGCGAGGTCCCTTCGAGCGAGTAACTCATTCAGAGTCGTAGGTGTAGATCAGAAAGAGAGTTTCGGTATAACCGTGAGGAGTAAGTGTTGCAGAAAACTTAGGAGTCTGTCCATCGGCGATCTGTCGTTCATAAGCTTTAACGACACGGGGGGAATTCTTTAGCAGCTCTTTTTGGTCGATCCAGTAGAATTAGTTCAGTGGGTGATAAAGGAAGTGAACTTTGTACTGTCTGTTCCTCCCTCTTCCTTCATGGGAAACAATTCTGTCTATTTCATGACCACCGTTGATAGCATGAGGAATCATAGGATCTCGGAAGGGAAAAGTCTCATCATTAGAGTGGGGAAACAGTTTGGATGCGTGATAGACCGAATACGTACGCAGATGAGGTGGTACGTTGATTACGTATGGACCAAATTTGTCATCTCCTACCACCTTCAGAACCTGCCAAGGACCATAGTACAATGGAAGAAGCTTTCGTGATACTCCCTCTTCTTCGGAAAGTTTGGATATCTTGATTCAGACATAACTTCCCACTTCGAAATTCCCTGCTTTGCGCGACTTGTTAGCATGTTTGATCATGGCATGCTAGTGCTTGTTCATCGCTGCGATAGCAACTTTGAGCAAGCGTGCATACTTGGTATTGTAGCCAGGCATGCCGGGCGTCGGACCAAGTGACTGCTTGGGGAAAAGATAGGAGAGAGGATTGCGCAGCTGCCAACCGTATTGCAGTTGATTCGGTGTCACGCCAGTTGCGGAGTGAATGGAGTTTTTATACAATCCCTTGACTTTGTGTAACTCCTTGTCCCACGTGTTGTGATCGGGAACAATTAACGAGTTGAATGACGATCTAGTTGATTTCTCGGCCAACCCATTGGCTTCGGGGTGTTGACCAGAAGTCATGTCGAGTTTATTGTCGTAGATCTGAGAGGTGAAGTCCTTCCAATCAGTCCTAATGAACCTGGTGTCCTGATCGCTCGCAAGAGGTTTTGGGGGTCCATACTGCAGAATGTACTGCTGCTGAAATTCTTCGATCACAAGCTCAGTTGGTGCATGAGGAGGTAAAGGAATCAAATTCAGAAATTTGGAAAAACGGTCTACGATGACCACGACTTGTGAATGTCGTCCCGCACTCACCTTTCCCATGTCCGTGAAATCGATAGAAGTCGACTCACTGGGTCCATCAGGAATGGGGAGGGGTTTCAACAAGCCATAAGGCTTATACCTATGGACCTTGGTTCTTTGCTAGACTTGACATTTAGCAACAAACTTCTGAGCAGATCCCTTCATTCCCGGCTAATCACTGCTGTAAAAGACTTCTGTAACTCTTCTCAAAGTCGAAGTGTCCACTCTGACCATGTGCCAAATCCAAGAAATGAGTCCGGAGAGGCGCATGGTTGCGTACACATGAACGATCAAACTTCCCATAGCGTCGGAATACAAAACCCTCGCACGTGTGAAAATCAGGCTGGCTGCTACGGTCAGCCTTGATCTGCTCGAGGATGGGACTAAGGTCCGGATCCTTGACAATGTGCTCGACCAGATCCTCGTTCAGTTTCCTTCGGAGATCGTATGAGCCCATGAGGCAAGTCAAAAACTCAGTATGTCGAGACAAAGCATCAGTGACACGATTATAACAACCTTTCTTTTGTTTAGTTCAAAATTGTATATATCAATGTCATGCAGCCAGTGGGTCAGCATCAGCGTCGGAGAAAGATCAGTTTGTGGTTTGATCCATTGCAAGGTCTGATGATATGAATAAATGTTGAAGTGACAACGCAAGAGGTAGTGCTTCCAATGCACGAGCGCCTCTCGTAAGGCATAGACCTCACGTATATGTGTGGAGCTACCTTGTGGCTGGGCATGCGTTTGCTGTAACATTCGAGTGGACGCAAGCCGTCGCCATCATCTTGTTGCAGCACTGTGCCAATTCTATACTGGCTCGCATCCGTAGTGACTGTGAACGTGAGGCTGGGATCCGCAATGCGGAACACAAGACGACTTACCAAAGCCTCTTTCAAAGTTTGAAACGCCGTCTCGCATTCCTCACACCACGTATAAGTGACATTTTTGCTTGTTAGTCTCGAGAGTGGACGAGGAATGACATAAAATTTGGGTACAAACTTTCGGTAATACGAAGTCAAACCAAGAAAGGAACGCAGTTCGAGGCCACTTTCGTATGACCTCAACCTTGGTTGCCTCAGGCTCAAGGCCGTTTGCAGACAACCGGTGCCCAAGATAATGACGTTGTTCCTTCCAAACTCAGATTTCTCTAAGTTGATGTGCAGCTTCGCCTCCTTGAGAACTTGCAAGACTTCCTCAAGGTGCTTGATGTGCTCTTCCATGGACTTGCTGAAAATCAGGATGTCATCGAGGTAAACGACAACAGACTTGTTGAGCTGATGGCGGAGAATGTTGTCCATGAGGCACTGAAATGTGGCTGGTGCGCACGTGAGACCGACGACAATAACGATAAATTCGTACATCCCATCGTGTGTCTTTAACACAGTTTTGTGTTGGTCGATTGGATCAACTTCAATCTGGTGGTAGCGAGACTTGCAGCATCCAACAAATCTTCTATGCGTGGCAAGGGATAAACGTTGACAGCAACCTCCTAATCGAGGCATTTGCTGGTGGATGTATGTGATCTATAATGTTGTTGTTGTTGATGTCTCTGTTGTAGCTGCGTCAGTGTGCTTCATTGCTGTCTCTTATACACATCTAGATGTGTATAAGAGACAGGTGTGTGTGTGTGTGTGTGTGTGTGTGTGTGCATTTGTTAGGGCTTGCTAATTTGAATCCTCTCTATAACCTAACGAAAACTTATCATCGGAGTCGAAAGGGGCGGGCACCCTTGACCTCGCGAAAAGGTTCTGTATTTGGAGTGGGGTGGAACACAAGCATAAGCACAAGTCCATAGCAGAGTGGGTTTTATGGCTATGATGGACCAGTTTCCCAGACTTGCCGTTATTGTCAGGGGTTTGCACTAGACAGTCTCCTAGGATTGCAGAGTTGGTGGCAAGGCAGGTAAGTCCTCAGCCATTGGTCAAATGCACCCTGGGAAGATTGCCGAGGTTCTACCTGCTCATAAGTCGGCGAAAATCTGATGAAACAGTCTGTCACTGTGACCTTTGTTTGTGGACTTCTGTTTAGTGAACAACTACAAAACGCAACAAATAAGCAGGTTCTAATATTGCTTTGCATGCATGCCCCCAGTGGCTGCGTCCCACTTGCACGGATCAGGAGAGTTTGGCCGTTGATCTCTCTTATCTACGGCCACCATCTCTTAATCCGTGCAAGAGGGATGACTCATGAATGAAACAAAAGTATGCGCTACGTGTGAGTACTATGTAGTTGCATGCCCCTCACCTGCTCCTGAAGCAATTTGTACTGCTAGTCTTTGTTCAAATAAATTTAAAGCCGTTTCTGGCCACATGGAGTTTCACGATTATACTGATGATGCCCTTGGTGAGAGTATCTATGCCTTTCATCCTAGAGCGAGTACCTCGGTTCACGTCCTTTTCTTCCCATTTCCTTCCTCTCCCTCTGCTCAGGTGGGTCTTTGCTATCGCCGAGTGGAGTGAATTGATCATCGCTCCAGTGAGCCCATCCACAACATCTGTCACCACCCTAGCTTGGGCTATTTCCTCTCTTCNGAGAGAGAGAGAGAGAGAGAGAGAGAGAGAGAGAGAGAGAGAGAGAGAGAGAGAGAGAGAGAGAGAGAGAGAGACTGAGTCAGAGAGATAGAGAAGAGAGT